TGCAAAATGGACAGACCTAGAGGTGATTAACAGCACATGTCGCGGAAAAACGACAAATTGTACGGCGAGGCCATTTGTCACTATTTTTATTTTCTTTTTGGAGCGATTGTCCGTGAAGCAAAAATCACGTGCTTACAAGTACACTTAGAATAACAAGTCTTACGCCCCGTGATACTTTTTCCTCACATCGTACTAGTGTATTTTTATTACGCTCCGCCCTGAACTAGCCCAAAAACGTATTTTAAAACGCTGATATGGATACAAATTAAATAACTGGTGGTAAAACGAGAATGGTTATCACTAGAATGACAATTATCTAAGCAAGTACTATAGTTATAACGCAAATATTTAAAATTATTGAAAGTAGATTTTGTAGTTGAAATTTTATTGGCCAACACCTCGTTAGAAATTTACCGTCACTTCTAAAAATTTCTAGTGTGGCCCACATATAAGATAATAATTTATTTACCTTATCTCCCAAAGGAAATAATATATCAGATAATATTCCGTAGTTATGCATATATGGTAGTTTCTTTGATATAAAGAAATTACCATATATTAGGAGTCCCTAGGGCAATTATAATTTATAGAGAAGTCCCTATGGGTAAAGTATTTGCCTAAGAGTCCCTAGCCTACTTATAAATACGCACGTGACTTCATCAGTCCGGCATCCTACGATAGGTACAGGCTAGAAGGCTCTCTAGGTTTTCTACTAAAGGTTTCAAAGGCGATTCCTTACAACGCTTGAACAACAATGGTTGAAGGTATGTTCCTGTTACTATTCCGCTGCATAGGCTTTGTGTATGTGTTTAAATATCAACATGTGGTATCAAAGCCTGTCTTTAGTCGATTGTTCAGTGTTTTGAAACGACTCATATTTGATTTGGAGTTGTGATCCAAAACCGTATAATGAAAAGAAATTGATAAACTCATTAATAAGAAGCTTCGATAGTGCCTTTATGTTTGGTTAAGACTTATGTATTAATTTCTTATTTGACCTATGTATTGATCCTACCGTGTCATGGGAAATTTGAATATGTTTGTTTGAATTCTATGAAACATTTGGCCGAATATAAAGTAACGAATCCTACCGTGTCAGTTTTGGATCTCAGATTGTCAACAGAGATGTTTAAGTTGATTAATATAGTTCAAGACTACCGTGAAATATTTGTATGCAATGATAGTACTGTTGATGTTTTTTCTCTCACTTAAAGCATTTACAAATTAATTATCTTCATCTGGTAGCATCTCCTTTCATAAGACCATCTTTGTATATGCATTGTGATCTACAATTGGATTATGATTAAAAGCTACTGTTTTGTAAGAAATTGCAACTATTTGTTTTACTTCCGTTGAAATTATCCTTATAATATGTAGATTAATTATAAGAGTTAATTTTTTTTATGGGTTATAGAAGATTGGTGCTCATTTAATCTATGTGCCTATTTTGAAATCAATCAATATTCTATATAATTTGATTGTTTGAACAAATCATTGTAAGATATCATTAGGAGTTTTCTTTTATATCTCGTATTTTGGTAGTAGCCACAGCATCCTGAATACTTGATATAAAAGAAATTAAGTTATTTAATCACATAAAATTTTAGTGATTAAAAATTATAATAACATCTATTTAGTCCAGTTATTTCATTATAGTAGTAACCCGACCCTATAGGAAGGTAACTATTTTAGTGAGATTAATTGGAATGAGATAGCAAATCTTTTAGTTTAAAATTATCTTATGCCCATAGGTACAGATTAATTTTATGTGTTTCGGTTTACTAGTCTAATAAAGTAAAGTAAATTCTATGCATGAGTTGCAACCTCTACCCACATGAGGGTCTAGAATTTACTTAGAAACGGTATTTTATGCGATTCACTTTTGATGGATTGTACTTCATAGCTTATGCATGTTTATCCTTGTTTTGCACTCTTTACCGGTTTTCCTACTGCTATTTTTAATGAGAATGCTCAAATTCCAATGCTTTCTGGTGATAATTATACTGAATGGAAGGAGAAAGCCCTTCTTGCTTTAGGGTGCTCGGATATGGACCCGACACTCCGTGTGGAAGAACCACCCATTCCCACGGAATCAAGTACACCAGTAGCTAAGGCTAATTATGAGCAGTGGGAGCGATCCAATCGCTTAAGTTTGATGCTCATAAAATCCCACATAAGCCAAAGCATTAGGGGTTCTATCCCTAATAGCGATAAGGCCAAAGCTTACATCAAGGCAATTGATGAATAGTATGTAAGCTCTGACAAGGCATTAGCCAACACCCTTATGAAAAGGCTCTAAAGTATGACTTTCGACAGAAGTCGTACAGTGCGTGAGCACATTATGGAGATGAGAGACATTGCTGCTAAACTCAAGTCCCTTGAGTTTAATATGTCTGAACCATTTTTTGTGCATTGTATTCTCAACTCACTTCCTGCGGAATATGGTCCGTTCAAGATTTCTTACAACACACATAAGGATAGATGGTCAATCAATGAACTCTTGATCATGTGCGTTCAAGAAGAAGAGAGTTTGAAACATGAGATACTTGAAAGTGTTAATATGGTGACTCATGATAAGAGAAATGCAAGGAAGGACAAAAGTGTTCCCATGAAGAAAAAAAGAACCTTTGACAAAGATGCTTGCCGTTTTTGTAAGAAGAAGGGACATTAGAAGAAGGATTGCCTGAAATACAAGAAATGGCTTGAGAAGAAAGGTAATTTTACCTTTGTATGTTATGAATCTAATTTTACTGAAATTTCTGATAATACACGGTGAATTGATTCTAGTGCTACAATTCACATTGCCAAAATCATGATGGGCTTTCTAACTCAGAAGAAACCAATAGGAAGTGAACAATACGTCTATTCTGGTAATAGGACGCGTTCACGTGTGAAAGGCGTGGACTTATAGGCTTATTTTGAAAGATGATTTTCACTTAGATTTAGAAAATACTTTTTATGTTCCAAAATATTCTAGAAATTTAATTTCTTTTTCAAGACTATCGATTAGTGGATATGATTTGGATTTTCATTATCCTTCTGTGAAACTTTTGAAAGATAATAAAGTTATTGGTTTTGGAAATTTGAATGGAAATTTATATAAACTTGAGCTAGACCCCACATTTGAATGCAATATTTTAACTTTGCATGACAAAAAAGTTGGCACTAAGCGATGTATTATCAATGAGAACTCATCAAGTCTTTGGCACAAGAGATTGTGACACATCTATATTGAAAGAGTCAAAAGGTTGGTTAATGATGGAGTTCTAAAAGCTCTTGATTTTTCTGATGTTGGGACTTGTGTGGACTTCATAATATTGTTTCTTCATTTGAATTTACGGAGAACATCATTGATCAGTGTATATACCTTAAGATAAGTAGGAGCAAATATATTTTTTTAGTCCTATATATGGGTGATATTTTGCTTGCAAGTAGTGATTTGGGTTTATTGCAAGAGACTAAATAGTTCCTTATCCAGAATTTTGAGATGAAGGATATGGGTGAAGCCTCTTATGTCATTGGCATAGAGATTCACAGAGATAGATCTCAAAGATACTTGGACTGTCTCAAAAAGCCTACATTGAAAGAATTCTGGAAAGATTCAGGATGAAGAACTGTTCACCTATAGCAGCACCCATAATTAAAGGTGAAAAATTCTCATTGAATCAATGTTCACAAAATGCATTGGAAAAGGAAAAAAATGAGAGACATTACCTATGCTTGCTTGTTGTGAGCCTTATGTATGCACAAGTCTGTACTAGACCTGATATTGCTTTTGCGATAGGAATGCTTGGCAGATATCAAAGTAACTCTGGTCTTGACCATTGTAAAGCGGGTAAAAGAGTTTTGAGATATTTGCAAGGAACCAAGGATTTTAAGCTCACATACAAATACTCTGACTCATTGGAGGTGATTGGATATTCAGACTCTGATTTGGATGGATGTAAAGACGCTGGTAAATCCACTTCAGGATATATTTTCCTTCTTGCTGGAGGTGTTATGTCTTGAAGAAGTGTCAAGTAGACCATTGTTGCAACATCCACAATGGAAGCTGAATTTATAGCATGCTATGAAGCTAAATCACAGGCGTTATGGTTGAAAAACTTTATTCCCGGCCTTTGGATTTTGATCCATTTCAAGACCATTGAGAATCTTATATGACAATTCAGCTGCAGTGTTTTTCTCTAAGAACAATAAAAGTGGCAGCCGAAGCAAGCACATCAACATAGTACTTGATGGTTAGAGACTATGTGAAGAAAAAAGAAGTGAATTTTGAGCATGTTTGTACTACTTTGATGATTGCTGATCCTATGACTAAATGTCTGCCGACTAATATTTTCAAGGATCATGTAACTCATATGGGGCTTAGTATCTCAATTTAGTCTTGCTTTGCTCTCTAACAGTTTGTCTAGATAGTTTCTTTATTTTGATAAACATGACAGTGCACACTTTTGGTTTTTCATGTATTATTTGTGATCATTGGATTAATAAAGTTGGACTCTGAATGACTTATATTAAGTTCATTCATAAAGTTGTTAGACACTTTGTTAGAATGTACTGTGCATTGTAATACATGGAAGGAAGTGTTTGTTTAAAAGCATGACCGCCATGATCTGTAATAATATATCTTAGTTAAAGTGATTGTTGCATAACTTTTAGTTGAGTGATAAAGTCTATGACCATATTATATGTTTATCTCTCATAAATGATTATCTGATTTTAATATGTCGGCCAAGTGAGAGAATGTTGGAAATTTACCGTCACTTCTAGAGACTTCTAGTGTGGCCCACATATAAGGTAATAAATTATTTACCTTTTCTCCCAAAGGAAATAATATATCAGATAATATTCTGTAGTTATGCATATATGATAGTTTCTTTGATTGAAAGAAATTACCATATATTAGGAGTCCCTAGGGCAGTTATAATTTATGGAGAAGTGCCTAGGGCTAAAGTGTTTGCTTAAGAGTCCATAGCCTACCTATAAATACGTCTGTGACTCCATCAGTCTGGCATCCTACGATAGGCATATGCTAAAAGGCTCTCTAGGTTTTCTACTAAAGGTTTCAAAAGCGATTCCCTACAACATTTGAACAACAATGGTTGAAAGTACGTTCTTGCTAATATTCCGCTGTGCAGGCTCTGCATATGTGTTTAAATATCAACACACCTTTCTCACTTCATCTCATCAACCCTTTTACATCCTTCCAGAGAACCTCCAATCTAACAGAGAAAAAAGAAAGTTAAAGTAGCATCATCTTTTTTTATTGTAGCTTTTGGGACTTGTTAGTTACAACTTACCTAATCATGCATTAGATGGAAATTGTAGTACTACTAAGGAACAAACATTAATTTAATTAATCGATTTTTGCCACTCTGCAATTGATAAAACTAGTTTTTATATAATCAAAGGATTCCTTCCCCCTTCGTTTTCTGTCTAAAGTAAAAATGTAGGAAAAACTGAACTTCTCGCGTGCTGATTTTTTCATTTCCCATCTTTAGGTAACATGCAACACTTCATAAGATAATTAGATCTAAAATATATAAACTCAGGTTTAGGTATAATACAACTAAAAGATATATTTTGAGTTGATGTTCTAAATGAGGCATCTCCAAGGGTGCACTATTTTTTGCACCAAATTTAAATTTGGTGTAAAATTTGGTATTTTTTTGCTCCAATGAAACACCAAATCTTGCACCATTATAGTGCATGAAGTGTTGCACCAAATTTGGTGCAACACTATTCATCAACACCAAATTTAATTTATTATTATTTTATTCATCTTTTTATTTTTTTGGACTTTTAATTTATCATATATTATGTATATAATTAGTTTTTATATTAAGATCTTTATAATTTTAATTTTATATCCTATTTTTTGATATATTAATTTTTGTATATATTATATTTTGTATAAAATTATAAGCTAATTTTATTATTATTATTATTATTATAATTGTATAAAAAGAAATACTGCACAACATGATAATTGAGGACAAGCGTGATCTTAATGCACAACATGATAATTGAGGAAGAGTGTGATCTTAATGCACCAATTGAAGATGTACATGAATGTCCAGCTCCTACGGTAGAAATGGCAGTAGATGAAGATCATTGATTTGAATAATTTTTAGTTCGATATAAAAAAATTGAGGATAAAGATGTGCATTTCGCACTTCATAATGCATTAATCAAGCATTTATGGGAGAATCGAGGCGAAAGTTGAATATTTATGTGGTACTTAAATTAAATTAATACTATAATGTAATATTTATTTAATTATCTTTTATCAATGATTTCACTTTTAGTTGATTTATCCTTTAAAATAATTTTGTAATAAATGATTATATAAGTGGTGAATATGAATTATATATGATGAATATGGAAAAAAGAAAAAAAGATAGAATTTGTTTGAAGGAAATAAAAAATAAAATTTAAATAGAAGATAATAATATAATATAGAAGAGAGAGAAGAAATATTATTTTTTAGTATAAAAAATGGTGTGATGGTTGGAGTAAATTTGGTGTTACACCATTTTAGTGTGAAATTTGGTATAAAACTTGGTATTAGGGTTGGAGATGTCTTACTATTAAGTTTGAATTGCAGCTTTTCGATGAAAGTCAAATATTCTTTATCAAAATCTCTGTATTACACAATTATTATATTTGGAAAATCAGCTGAAGTTCTCTTTACCAACACTTTTTCAAATATTTTTATTTTTAAAATAATTGTAATGTACAGTTCTTGTGAACATAATTTTTCAAGCTGAAAATTTCTATACGCCGAATAACATGCATGGCCATTTATTTTAAAGCAGAATAAGTAAAAATAAATATTTTAGGATATTTAGAATTTCATTTGTGAATGGTTGAAGTGTCAGAAGAATACTTGCTCTAGGATATTTCAGAATTTCTTGCTCATTTTTCAATAAAAATGTTTGTTGCAGTTTATAATGCATTAATTTATTTTTAAAATTGTGGAACCCAAAGCTCAAGGGTATTTTTGTCGCTTTGGGAAGACCGAATATTCTCTAGTCTACACTTGCTGAGCAATTGTTTAAAGTTTAAACCTTTTGTTTAATATACTAATTAATTAATTATTTTTCTCAATCTTATCAAGTTTACTTTTTCTATAGGCAAAGTGGAATTCCAATTTCAATTTCCAAGATTCTCCTTTCACTCCACGCCACGAGATTTTTCTTGGCATTGGAGAATGAGATGCTCAAAAACAGCTTCTTAAATAATATC